GATTGCTTTATCCTCCTAGAACAGTGTTTCTCAACCTTGGCAACTTGAAGATGTCCAGACTTCAACTCCAGCTAATGCTGGCTGGGGAATTCTGGGAGTTGAAGTCCGGACATCTTCAAGTTGCCAAGGTTGAGAAACACTGTCCTAGAAGGAGACAACAAAAGTCCACCATCTCCTCCTGCAATTATACATGGGCACCTTCAAAGTTTTTAATAACAGTTGACTGTTACAGATAGTTCTCAAGTTATGACTCATTGCTTAGCAATCATTCAAAGTTATGACCTTTGAAAAGGGGGACATGACCCAGAATGAAAGTTTCAGTGTTTGGGTGTCTCTCCTGTAAGGTCCTGTGACCGCACTTCAGGCCCTCAGCAACTGTGCTGCATTTGCAGCCATTTTTTCCCCACACTCTCATCTCACATCTCAGTCCTCGAGCTTCAGAAAGAGGAATTGCAGGTAAGGATTTTATTGTTCAGGTAGTCATAATTTTTGTTTCAAGCAGTTATTTATGTGTGAGAGTAGTTAAAACTGATTTTTATTGTATTTGTATCCTACCTTTATTATTTTTACAAATACAAGGCAGTGACTGTATTCAATACACATTTCTCCTCCTATTTCCCCCACAATAAGCAATCTGTGAGGTGCATTGGGCTAAGAGTGACTGGCCCACAGTCACCCAGCTGGTTTTTATGGTTAACATAGGATTTGAACTCATGGTCTCCTGGTTTCTAGTCTGGTGCCTTAACTATCAGACCAAAGCAGCTCCAAACTATCAAGCCACCTTTCTCCTTTTTATCCTTGAAAGCTTGCTAGAACAGTAGAAGCCCAGAAACTAACTAACTAACTAACTAACTAACTAACTAACTAACTAACTAACTCTCTCCCTCTCTCTCTCTCTCCCTCTCTCTCTCTCTCTCTCTCTCTCTCTCTCTCTCTCTCCCCCCCCCCATGTCTGTGCATGGAAAAAAAGTTTTTGCAAATAGGAAAATGACTGCCCACAAGTTCAGCAGAATTATAATATTGCAAAGCAAACATCAGCTTTGTTTCAAAAACAATGGAGCCAGAAAAGAAGAATAAAAACCACATTTATCTATCAAAACCAGCCATTTCTATAGAACTTCAAAGCTGGTTCCAAATTGGTACAGCAGGTTTGCTATTCCTCCCCTGCTGCTGTCAGCTGAAACCCACCTTATATAATAACTCTGTTATTTAGAATATGTCAATCCTGGGTGCATGTAACAGATAGTTAGCTCCAAAATTAGCAGAAAAAATAGATAAATACCTGCAGAAATAAATAAATAAATAAATACATACATACATACATACATATATACATGCATACATACATGCATGCATACATACATACATACATACCAGTGACGTGGAGGCAGGGGAGGCAGAGCCTCACCACTGTCATGAAAAGAAAAAAAAATGTAAAAGGAAAAAGGCTGAGTTAGTTGCTGCCAGAGT